TTACAAATTACTCCCAAATTTTCTAAAGAAGTTGAAAATCTCCAAAAATGAAAGTTGCTCAACTTTTCAAACTCTACAACTTTGCTTAAGTGAACATTTTCAAATTCTGTCTCCATTTTTAAATTTGAATTTGGGGTGCATTTGAGCATTTGAATCATTTCAAAATTACTCCAAATTTTATATGTAAACTTTAAAAACTTTGAATACCAAAGTCGATCCTTATAAAATAAGCTTCAACTTTGCTTTTTGTCACACCCCCAAATTCCAAATGGATTTTGAAATATACAAAAGGGGCAAAAAGGACTTTTATAATTTGAAGTTGAATTCAAATTTAATTTATTTTCCTTTTGACTTAACTTTGATTTTTGACCAGTAACATGGCCCATCAGGGTTATTTGAGTCAATTAACACATGGTCTCACATGATCACATGAATTTTGACCCTTGTGGTCATGATTTTCATTCAGAGTTTCGAATCACATTACATCACATAAAATAACAACTATGAAATAAAGCTTATTTAGTGAATGCATTCAAATTTTTCTACTTTACGAATGTTTTGCAATGCATATGATGACATGTCAAGTTTTAATGCTAGGTTAAAACACCAGAGGTGTTACACTCGCGGGCCCCGGCTCGCGCCATCGGCACGGGCCTGCTGCTGCTATTCCAGTGCCGCCGCTCCTCGCCTGCAGTTGTCCAGCGCCATCCACTCGCATGGGTTAGGGTGCAGGCGCGGCTGGTGATGGGGTGCGGTGCGGTGGGGGAAAGGGCCCGACGTGGCGGTTGACGGGCTGAGGTGGGGGAAGGGGGCGCGACAGGGCGGAGTGGGGTGGCTGGATACGCGGTGAGGCCACAACACCGATGTGATTGTGAGTGGGGAAAAATTTCGGAGGTAGAAGAAGCACAGAGGTGAGCACGCTTGTTGGGCTTGTTCACTGCGCAGGCCCAGTAAGACACCGTGCAGATGGGACGGACGACCGTGTAAGCATTTGCGATCGAAGGTTCCCTGGTTCCACATTTGTCAAGATGCCCATCCTCGTATACTGTCAAAATGGATAGTTTCAAGGCCAAAATCTGTTTCGGTTAGTCATGTAAACCGGTTTGCAGTTTGCACAGTGGATGCGTGTTTATGGCCTCATGATGTTGATAGGCCTAGGAAGACTCTGGCTCGCTTGTTAAAATGTAAGCCAGGCTGCAAAGCGCAACCAGCTTCCGTGGAAGTCCAACCCACGCCCCATCAACATTTAGCAACGCCCGCAACCTCCCCAGGCCCGAAACCCAAAATTTCGTGTTTCCCACAACCAGAAATCCAAACTTCCGAAGCCATTCACAGTCAGAAAAAGTCCACATTACCTTCCTTAACTTTTGTGAAAGTCCATTTTTTCTCCCTGAACTCCAAAATAAGAGAAAACGTCTCCTTCAACTTTTAAAACCATTCATCTTACCTCCCTGGCCCGGTTATAAACGGTTTTGAAGGTGGTTTTGTTTTTTTTATTTCGGCTGAATCTTTGAAAAATCATAGTAAATCACAGAAAAATCATAAAATGAAAAATCCATTCTTGTTGGACTCCACGTGAGTAGATCTACACAGTGAATATATAATATGGTATGCTTTATTACAAAATTTTTATTGTAGCTTTAAATCTATACTTTTCTGTAATTAAATGGAATAATTCATGCCTACAGTTTCTATAGCTCAATTGTGATGAAATTTTTATGGTGGACTAATTATTGTATGTTTAAACTGCAGTTAAAATTTCATACTCATTAGATCATGTATTCCTTAGTTATAGATTTTATTTAGGTTTATGCTTGTTAAATATAAATAAATCTATAACTAAGCTATACATGATCCAATGAGTATAAATTTTTTACTACAGTTTAATCATACAATAATTAGCCCACTTTAAAATTTTCATCACAATTGGACCATAGAAACTGCAGCTATGAATTATTCCAATTAATTACAGAAAAGCATAGATCTAAAGTCACAATAAAAATTTTGTACTAAAGCAAACCGTATCATATTTTCACTGTATAGATCTATTCACGTGGAGTCCAATAAAATTGAATTTTCTATTTTATGATTTTTATATAATTTACTATGATTGTTTAAAGATTGAGTCGAAATAAATAAAAAAGAAAAAGATAAAACCACTTTTAAAACTGTTTATAACGGGACCAGAGAGAGGTAAGATGAATGATTTCAAAAGTTGAGAAGGTGTTTTATTCGAGAGAGAAAAAAAGGAAGGAGGTAACGTGGACTCCCGACGCGCGCAGCGCCCGTCAAAGCCAGGAAAACGCACGCGCTGCTCGATCCGCCCTCCCGCTCCTTCGCCAATAGGAGCGGAGCCATCCCCATCCAACGGCTAGCGCTATCCCTCGCGCCCTTCACGCGGATCGCGCCTCCATCCGACGCCTCCCAGCTTTCTCCCGCCTCTATATTGTTCCCCCTCCTCACCCGTCCGTCCCCATCCAATTCACAATCCACCAGACCACCACCACTCCAACAGCAAGCAAAAAATCCCCAATCCCTCGTCTCCGCGGCGAAGATGTCAGGGCGCGGCAAGGGCGGCAAGGGCCTGGGCAAGGGCGGCGCGAAGCGTCACCGGAAGGTGCTCCGCGACAACATCCAGGGGATCACGAAGCCGGCGATCCGGAGGCTGGCGCGGAGAGGCGGCGTGAAGCGCATCTCCGGGCTCATCTACGAGGAGACCCGCGGCGTGCTCAAGATCTTCCTCGAGAACGTCATCCGCGACGCCGTCACCTACACCGAGCACGCGCGCCGCAAGACCGTCACCGCCATGGACGTCGTCTACGCGCTCAAGCGCCAGGGCCGCACCCTCTATGGCTTCGGCGGCTAGGCCGCTGTCGCTATGGTTCCAGTGTTGCTGCAATTTGCAAGTTGTGCCTTGGTGGGGAAAATGCTAGTTACTGTAGAACCGAGCAACCATGGTGCATATGTTGTCTGTTTCATATTGAATCTTATCTTAGAAGAAATGGCAATGATGATGACTTGTTCAGGATTCCGAACATTCTCCATTTGACTGCTTCGTTTGTGCTAGTGCGAACCATTTCAGTTCTTTTGCTGAACTTCAGACTTATCAGTTCCGTGGCTTTAACTTGAGCCATGATGTGTCCTACGCACATTGCATCTCTGTACAGCAGGCTTATTTATTGCATACTGGATATGCGATTACCTCTGTTCCCATTTCATTTCGATGGGTTGTTTCATTAAGGACGTGATAGGATAGGGCTTGGTTTGTTCTGTAAAAGTCGGCAGAGTAAATAATTCACTTTCAGATACATGTGCTGAGAGTGTCTGAAGAAATGCCAATGCTGACTTGCTCAGACTCAAACATGCTCCATGTGTTCACACATAAACTCTGTCGTTGCTGTGGCTGTTGACTGCGCTTTTGTTTGTACAAGTGTGAACCATTTCAGTTCTTTTTGCTGAACTTCAGACTTGCGATTTCAGTTCCATTAAAAAACTTGAGCCATGATGTGTCCTAACTCCTACGCACATTGCATATCTGCACGACTGTACAGCAAGCTTATTCCTCTTTCTCTATTTGATTTCGATGAAAGGCCTGCTTGGCTAGGATTTTGTTTGTTTTGTAAAAGACTGCAAAATAAATGGTTCACTTTCAGCTGCTCATTATATGTTGCCATGGATATATGCATGCTGTCAGTCCTAGCTCTAGGATATCACTGGCTTGGTGGACCGCAGAGACCAAGACTGAACTACTACTTTGCATCCCCTGAAATTTTTTCAAGCATTTGCACAACCCTAGTCAATCAACTTCCTCTCTCTAATCTTGTCATTGACTGCTAGAGTTTACCGTTGACCTCTCTATTCACATATGTCCCCTGAAGTCTCCAATTTTAGGAAGGACGTGACAAGAGAGTGAATCGTCGCAGGGTACTTTGTGGCCACTGCAACCAACACAACTCACCAAACACGCTAAAAAACAAGTGTGTGTCAGTCATGGTTGTGTGTTTTTCTCTCACAACAAATCAGTGAACAGTATTTTTTAGCCTGACTTTTTAGTAAAGCGAACAGAAGAATGCAATTCTAACACAGTGTAACATTTCAGTATGAAAAGTTTGACCAATTATAGATAAAAAAATATCCATGTTTATGATACCAAATAAATACCATCAGATTAATTACGAAATATATTTTCATAATAAATTAATTTAAAGATATAACTGTGAATATTATTCATTAAAAACTTGGTTAAACATGAACTAATTTTCGAGGCATGTAACCTATAGTTGCATTCTTTGCAGGACGAGGTAGTACAATCCAAAGTATACCGGAGCTGGACATCTTTCACTTTATTGAAAGATACCTTGTGCGCCTTTTATATATTTGGGCATTATATTAGCCTAGGGCGTGTTCGGCTGGCTTGTTTCGTCATTCACGAAATCACTATTCATGTCCTGTCAGTATAGTATTTTTCTCTCGCAACAATCAGTCGGAACAGTATTTTTCAGTCCTGCCGAACAGGCCGCTAATTAGCAAGATACCTTTATATATTTTAAGGATTAGCGTGCTGCGTTTGGTTAGCTTTCGGAAAAAGTAAGGAGTGTAGTATAGTACACACTGTGTGTTTGGTTAGCTTTCCAAAACGTAGGGAAGACATAGGAATGAACAGGTGAAAGGAAAGCATGGAGAACCAGATTTCATTTAACAAACCTCACCAACGACACATCCTGCAACCTTGACCAACAATGCATACTTTCCGCATCATTTTCCACGGAAAATATCCCGCTGTCCGACAACAAAGACAAAAGAAAATCTACCAACTATGAGTTGGTATGTATTTTTTTACTGAAAGGGCACAATTGATTTTCTTTTTGCAAATAGGGTACAATCGAAGCAATGGTAAGAAACAGAGGACCCCAGTTCACATTATCATCATCGCCAATACAATTACTGCTAGATGTTGAATAATCTTTTGTGCTAATGCATGAGGGACAGAGCACGCAACGCTACCGAGGGTACCTCGCCGACATCATCATCTCCTGCTCCAAACTATATCTTCTACTTGATTCTTTAAAACTTTGTCCTCCTTTAGCTGATGACGGACAATTAGTCACAATGCTATCATCCTCGAATTCCGCTGCTACCGTATCTTCTCTCTTGCACTTCTTGGAACCCCAAAGCCCCACTAGGGTATGCTCCACTTGTCGCATTGTTGGTCGTTCTTCACCTCTGAAGTTTATGCAGGACGCTGCAAGTGCAGCAACTTCTTGGACTTCTTCGCCTCCCTCCTCTGTAACATGTGGATCCATTATCTGGACAAGATTTCCCTCGGCATGTAGGTCAAGAAAATGAGAAACAAGGCCATCACCTTCGGTGGATAGATATGAAAATGGCTTCTTCCTAGTGAGTAGCTCCACCAGAATTACACCAAAACTATAGACATCACTTTTCTCCGTGAGTCGGCCGGTCTGAAAGTACATAGGATCCAAGTAACCTATTGTTCCCTGGACTCTTGTTGTCAACCCAGTTTTGTCAATAGGAATGTACCTTGAAGCTCCAAAGTCTGATATCTTCGATGTCATTTTATCATCAAGAAGTATGTTACTGGACTTGATGTCTCTATGGATTATTGGGATCGAAACTGCCGTGTGAATATAGGCAAGAGAAGAAGCTATTTCAGTTGCAATCCTTAATCTCTTACCCCATGATAGTGACCTTGGACCTTCAACATGGAGATGGTGACAAAGAGTTCCATTGGAAATAAACTCATAAACCAACAACGGCACCTCAGTCTCCAGGCAACATCCAAAGAGTTTGACAATATTCTTGTGATTGACTTGTGAGAGGATTGCTACCTCATTTATGAACTCGTCTATTTCTTCCTGGACTGTAATCTTTGACTTCTTGATGGCTACGACATGTAGGTCCGATAAGATCCCTTTGTAAACTGTACCATGCCCTCCACCACCAAGTTCACGAGTTTTGTCGAAGTTGTTTGTCGCCTTTGCAAGCTCCTCCATTGGTATGATCATCCTTTCTGCAATGTCTGCCTTTTGCGACATCAACTGTTGCAACAAATTGCCCACGGTTTTGCTTGAAATACTTTTGTTTCAATACTTTCATCCTGTGCTCTTCAATCTTACGGGGTACTAACATTATGCCCAGAACCAAAAGTAGGAGAACCGGGCCACTGGCAGCTGATAAACCAATTTTATTCTTTTTAATGAACGTAGACAAAATAGTGGATAAACTGACGCAGCCGTTGCCCTTGTGCGGGTTGCCAAATGTTCCTAGCGGGCACTGGCACTTGAATGTTCCAGGCAAATTGTCGCAGACGCCGAAGCACCGCTTTGTTGTGTTGCTGCTGCACTCGTCGACATCTGTAGCCATTAGCCGAGACCAGAATGAACAATAAGTAACAATATAATTGAAATCCCCCAATATAATGAGCAATGCAAACATCGAGAAACATATTCCTTAAACAAACATAGTGAAATAGAAAGAGAGTGTGCATGTGTGCTTAAGGAGTACACAGTAAAATCAGTAGTGAGTAGTGACCTTTGCATCCGTCGGCGATGTAAGGGTTGCCCTGGTATCCGGTGTTGCAATGACACGTAAAGCCTTCGTTCTCTTGCCGGCAAAAACTATCCTTGCTCTTGCAAATGCTGCTAGTTATGTCCCCGGGGCACTGCCCCGACGAGTTGCCGGGCAGCGCTGTGAAGCCTTGCTTAACTGCCCACCGTAGAACAAGGGGAAATGACATGTAATTGGTCGCTAAAATCGACAGATCAGTTCTGTTTAAGATCATGCCCCACTGATTAGTCAACCCGTCCTCTGAGATGAAGGCGACTGCCAACATGCCATATTGCCGCTCGAGAAGTTTAAACTCCATTCTCTTTGGCGTGCTGCTGCCTGCAGCGATGGGCGCATGGCAGCAGACATCACCTCGGCCGGAGCAGTAGTATCCGCCGTTGATGTAGTTGCGGCTGGAGCTGCAGGTGGAGTTGCAACTGCTGATGATGCTGTCGGACTCGCCATACAGGGTGGCTTGCACGTTGCACCGGGAGAAGATGAACTCGTTCGTGGCCGACAGCGTATATGGCTCGCCGATGTGAGGGATGTCATATAAAACTGTTGTGTAGGTGTCGCTCTCGTTGTATTTGAGGTTGGTGGGATTACTAAAGATTCTGGCGTGATGGATGACGTGCACCGTGGAGTCGGCCAAGTACATGTTGACGACCTCAAGGGTGCCGTTGCTGTCGAGAAGCAGCCGCGGGGGGTAATAGCTTGTGCTGCAGGTCATGTTGAAACCCGGCAAGGAGCAACCAGGGCCGATGCCGAAGGGGTACGGAACTCTCACGTCACCACAGCTGGTCTTGCAGTTGGGGTGCAGCCCTAACGGCACCGGAGCCACAGTAGGCGACTGTAGCGCATCATCTGCTGCAAATATATTATGAAATTGATTACTAGTCTTACTGCAGCAACATTTGATTGATCTGAGCTTTATTATTTGCGTCCAAGAATAAGCTAGTGCGCCACAGGACGTACGTACAGGGGTGTACTGACCTCTAGTGGATTTAATCTTGACACAGCCACCACTTGTGCCGGGATTGCGAAAAGTTCCATGCGGGCACCGGCATTCCATTGAGGCGATCGTGTTGATACAGTCGCCGAAGCATTCAATCTCATCCCTTGGGAGCTTGCACTCGTCGATATCTGCATGCATGGCGGAGGGAAATCTGTTTATTATCCTAGCTTTGTGTTTGGATAACGCAAAAATCCTACACGATCACTCTCAAAGCCTAAATACTAGTACACTTCTAGTTAGAGAACAATTTTGCAAGGTGTCCGTATAGATGAAGATAAATTACCCACCACAGCTCTTACGCAAACAATTAACTAAAAATATATAACTCCAAACCAATCCAACATCCATGTCAAACCTTTTTAACTTCCAATAATATGACTAGTAACAAACAAAAATTGGCAACATAAAAATGATGTTAGTAGATTCATCGCGAAACAAAGTTTTAGAGATCTTGAATAACATGAGGAGTTGCGGTCTACTGATTATATATTAATATTATAAATCAAAAGATACACAAAGTCTTTTCTTTTGAAAGAGGAGAATTTGACACAGGAAATGGGGCCTAAAAACCATACAACAAAAGAACAACCACGAGACAAAAGCCTCGTCAAAGCACCAAACAGCTACCAGGCACGTCCATAAAATCTACCACTAAGATCCTCGTTTCGTCCATTGTCCACGACTAATCACAACTATGAGTCATCGTTGCCAAGCTCGTTGACACCTCAACACAGTAGCTCCGACTTCTCAACAAGATGTAATTAGGTGCCACCACCGGTCGAGGAACGAAGCACGGTCCAAGATTTCCAAGACGATGCCTTCAAGAAGGTTACAACACTAACGATGCCGCCATCACCAGCCCACAAATAGACTAGGTTTTCATCTATGGAAGCCCGGCAGGATTGGGCGGGTTACACACCTCCAAGGAGGAAGCGACGCCCACGGGCATCGCCATCCGAGCTTTCGCCCTGACCTCGACCGACCAATCCCCGTAGAAAACAGTGAGGCACAGTCACACCAGCAGCGAGGCTGCGCACCAACCGCTGGAAGCACCCCCAACGACAGACCGAGTGCAAGAGCAGGACACGAAGCACCTAATGGAGACCATGAAGATGACGGGCAGCTGCTCGGCCTCACCGCCAGATAAATAGCACCGCCTGTAGGAGCAAGCAGCATCACCATCCTTGTCCTGCTTCTTACAAGATCCAGCCACCAACACGAAGATCTGGCCTCCAACGCCACACCACATCATCCAGATCCACGTCAACATGCCAAGCCTCACCGGCCATCGTGCACACCATCCGCGACCGCATGCTGCTGGCTAACGCCCGCACGCCTCGCTTGGTGCTGCGCTGTGCGCTGCCGCGCCTATAGCTCGCAAGCAAGGCGCCGGCACACCGCCCGCGCGGCCTCCGTGCTGCCCCTCACAGATCCGGCCGGGGAAATAGTGTATCCGCCCGCCAGAGCCGAAAGAGCCTCCACCACTGTCGAATGTTGAACCACCTCCGAACGTCGTAGCCGACCTCGCAGCACACCGGCACCGGCACCAAGAGAAACCCGTCGCCCCGCCGTCCACAATGCTCAGGCGCCATCCTCAAGCGGATCCGGATTCGTGAGCCCCGAATCCGGCCTTCCCGCGCGGACGGCACCGGCTCTGAGCAAAGCCGGCCCAGACCCCAACCAAATCAGGCCAACCCTGCCAGGGACATAAAGATCCGGGCAGGTGCTAGCCAGAACCGGCCGGAGCCACGCCGAAATAGCTGATGATGACCTGACGACGCAAGCACCATCCACTGGACGCCGGCAGCGAACACCAGGGAAAGTGCCACCAGCAAACACCTGGGGAAAAAAATAGCCTCACCGCCAACGTTCTCGCCGTCGAACACACCTCCGGTGGCCAGCTCTGGCGGCGGCGCGGAAGGAAGGAATGGGGCTGAGGAAGGGTGGCTGGGCGGCGGCGCAAGGTCCGCCCATAGGGGGTGACGCGGGGTGAAATGCCCTGTTCGCTGGCTCCATGGCTAAAAATACTACGTACTGATTCGCTACGAGAGAAAAATACTATTTATTAATAAAAAAAATAAGGCTTATAAACCAAACGTACGTAACAAAAGCACGTTGATACAGGCCTGCTTGGTTACCTACGAAAAAAATTGTCGTACCAGAAATTTAACAAGAATATTTATCATAAATTTTAAATTTGACATGTTAATTGTGGCTCCATTCGGCTCGCTGAAACTTGGCTGAAAAACACTGTTCTAGCTAAATTGTTGTGAGAGCAAAATACTGTTCCGGCTAAACAAGGAAGCTAAATAGTACGGATTATAAGATAAGCCGAACAGGATCGAGATGTTAGCAAATTTTGATAGTCAACTAAACGGCTGCTAAAATTTTGGTTTCTCTAAGCCTTGGACATCAACCGATCAAGGCCAAGAAGTCTCGAGAAAAAAAAAGAAACAAAGAAAATTAAAGCGGTTACACAGAGGCTTCCGTCCATTGATTCAGAAGATGTGCTAGAGATTCTATTGTTCCAAGATTCTGAGATCGGTGGTCAAGGATAAAAATATTCGAACTTAAAACAATCTTAAAGATAGCTACTTGTGGATGGAAGGACTACGAATTTAGAGCTACTCGATCGTTCCATGAATATGTTTTTGGCATCACTTTTTAAACTAGTCTTCGTTAATTGGTTTCTCCTATAACTCGATTAATTTTTAGTGCTGTGAAATATGACTCTCGTTGTATAATTTTGACAGTAAACGTACCTAGTACTACAATGTAATGAAGTGATGCCTGCTCGCTCCTCCGCGAGTGAAATTTAAATTTTTACCATCCTTGCTGCCAGAGGTACTCCTCTAGTTGTCCTCTTTAGTTTGGTAATTATGTATTTACCACACGAACAGGAGACCATGCTATATAGGCCCTGTTTGGATCCTGTATTTTCTTCTAAAATTCTTGTCACATTAAATGTTTAGACACATATATGGAGTATTAAATATAGACTAATTACGAAACTAACTGCACAACTTACGACTAATTTACGAGACGAATCTTTTAAGCCTAATTAGTCCATGATTTGACAACGTGTTGCTACAGTAAACGTATGCTAATGATATATTAATTAGGCTTAAAAATCATCTTGAAAATTAGTCTCCATCTATGTAATTGGTTTTATAATTAATCTATATTTAATACTTTTTATTAATATCTAAATATTCGATGTGACATAAATTTTAGAGCGGCCGAAGAAACAAACACCCCCATATTCGATGTGGCAAGCCAATTCATCTCGCTTGCGTGTACAGGCCGTGGGAAATGACCCTTGTGCCCTTGCTTGATCTCTTTTAGCCCATCTCCTCCCTCTCGCTGCCTCAGTTCCACGTGGACCCCGCCTGTCATCATCTACCTCCCGCTCCCACCTTCTTTCCATGGTGACCAAGAAGCCGGCCTGGCCCAGGGCGCGCGCGCGTAGCTGGGGCTTGCGGGGCCGGCCCAGCGCGGCGGCAGGAGCAGGGGCGTGGCAGGGTGGGCGTGCGCATGACCGGCACAGCACGGCGGCGGCGGCACGGGCGCGGCGGGGCAGGCGCGCATGTGGCCGGGGCTCGCGGGGCCGGCTCAGCGCACCGCCCGTGTAGAGCGCTCGCTGGCATCGCGTCACTGCAAGAGGCACAGCCTGGGCATTACTGGGCACCGCCGGATCTTGGGGCGGCCGAGCGGGCACACGCGCAGGCAGCGGCGAAGGAAGCACAGCGGGAGCTCGCCATGCGCGTGGAGCTCGTCCACCAGGTTCGTGCTCCGCGTGGCGTCGTCCAGGCTGCAGAGCTGTAGAGCTTGGGCCAGGCTGCAGATCCTGGGCGCCATGGAGATCTCGTTGTCGCCCCAGGCTCCATCAAACGATGTCTCACATGGCGTCATTCCCATTCCCTGCGGTGGCGCTGCCGAAATGGCAAAGGTTTGACTCATCGGAGGTGTCACAGTCATGGACGCCGGGGCCGGACCCGCACACCTGCGCTTCCAACGCGTTGAGTCGTCACTTGCCGAAATGGCAAAGCTTTGAGGCATCGGAGGTGTCACGGTCACGGATGCCGGGCCCAGACCCGGCAGGGACACCTGCCCTTCCGCCGCGTCGAGTCATCACCCTCGCCGGTAGCGTCGGCGGCGCTGGGTGCTCTTGCCCCCGCTTCCAATGCCGCGTGCAGCTGGTGCAGCCGATGATTGCGGCAGCCGCGCGAGCCGAGGCCGTCGTCGTCGGGATCTCGACCATGCCCCCTCCTCTACGCCCGCACCTTGACTTGCGCCTGATCCGAGCACCGCCGGAGCCGCTGCCACCTCCGTCGTCCCCTGGTTCTCCACTGTCCACTGGAGGAGCAGCTGCCATGGATGGAAGGAGGAAAGGCCGAGAGGGAGAGAAGGGGCCGGCTAGAGGTTTGGGATGGACCTGACAGGTGGGCCCGTGCGAGAGGATATGCAGTGTGATTGGCTGGGGCTGGCTCGCTGGCTGGGCTGGCCAGCCCTCCTATATAGATACTGTTCATCTAAATCAGTCAGCAGTATTTCTCTTACATAAATGAACCAGCAACGATACAAACCAGTCAACCGAACCTGCGCAATACGGTCATTTCACATGCTTTGTCCATGCTGCTGGAAGGGTGAGTTGCGTGCTACGTCGCCAAAAGTGACAAAAAAAAATGATGCACTGAGAACTCTTCACGTGACAAATGTGTAATTGCTAAACTAAAGTTACCAACTGGACCTTGTAAGGATGGCAAAAATTTAAATTTCCTCCTCCGCGACGAGCGAGCTGCAGGTCCTCCGCAGGTATCGTGGAGCCATTTGGCTTGTACCCCTAGGGAGCCGCTCGGCCTAGCTAGCGATGGCTAGCAATCTGGGGACGAGCGAGACAGTGAGCTGCTGCCATTGTGCTACTACAGTTAATTGTTTTCTCATACGATACCTAATTTAGCCTGTGTTTAGTTTCAAAAGATTTCCCAAAAAGTGCTACAGTATTTATCACATCGAATCTTACGATACGTGCATGGAGCATTAAATATAGACGAAGAAAAAAACTAATTGAACAGTTTAGTGGGAAATTACGAGACGAACGTTTTGAGCCTAATTAGTCTATGATTAAACACTAATTG